GGGGGGGGAGGTGGCCCCCCAGCCTCCCTCCAGCCCCGACCCACCCTGGCTCTGGGATTCCTCAGGGCTCTGTCAGACCCCAATAAAGTTGTACAAGTTCTCGTGACCCCACGGCCTTACAGCGGTGGTAAACATGGGCGCCAGGGCTGCCTGGACACAGAGCAGACATTGCCTCTGGTGGGCCCTGGGAAACCCTCCTCTGACCCACGTTGCTGCCTTGGTTAAACTGCTGAGAGACAACTCCTGGCTGGGCTGGTCCCAGCCTGCCTGGCTTTGGCTGGGCACCATGGTACCGGAAGGCAGGGAATATAGCCTGAAAGGTAAAACTGAGGCTGAAAACCTGCTTTCTTGGCTGTAAAGAGCCACCAGAGAAAGCAATCCCCAGGGCTGGGTTTGAATTGCTCTCAGCCTGTCTTGTTTCATGAGGAGATCTTGGTAATACCCATACTTAGTGCAGGGTTATGTGTCAAAGTCCCCCGACAAGGGGCGGCAAAGTGGCCCTGGGAAGATGCTGCCTGGCTGGAGCTGGGGTGCGGGCAGAGAGTATGTTGTGCTGAGGAGGAGGCAGGGGTGAGAGAAGAGCTGCTTCTGGGCTGGTTCGGGGTGGCACAGGAGTGGCAGCATGGGTCAACTCTCGCAGGGGCACACGGTTGAGGACAGTGGGGACAGCTCAAGTGTGTTGTGACACTAGAGCCTGCCCTGAGGTCAGTCTCCAAAGCAGCTGAAGCAAGGGCTATTCCAGGAGATGGGGAAGGGGGCTCCAGTCCTAATCTCCCCAGCCCAGCATGCCTGCAGGTATCGCACTGCCAGCAGTGCTAGCCCCAGAGAAACCCTGCAATCCCCCCAGGGACACCTATGGCGTGGGGGCCTCCTGGCAGGGCACAGACTGTGCCTGGCACATATGCCTAGGTGGGTGCCAGGGGAAATGCAAATCCAAGCAGCCTTCTCCTCTGTCCCCAGCACCTTTGAGTGCCCATTAGACCTGAGCAGTATGTCGCCTGGGGCATTGCCAAGGGCTGTAAAAGGGGAGGGTGTAGG